TTTTTTTTTTTTTTTTTTTTTTTAATATATCTTTATTGATTTCAGAGAGAGGAAGGGAGAGGGAGAAGGAGAAAGAGAAACATCAGTGATGAGAGAGTCGTCATTGATTGGCTGCCTCCTGGCACACCCCTGACTGGGAATTGAGCCGACAACCTGGGCATGTGCCCTAACCAGAAATCGAACCACAGTCTCCTGGATCCTAGGTCAATGCTCAACTACTGAGCCACGCCTCGCTGGGCAGTGGGAACCCCTTTAATGGTTTCTAAATCCTTTTACGTGACCCTGGTAATGTTTGATAGCTTTCTTGCTACTAGTACAATAAATTGTCCCAGGCTTATTTTGTAATTTTCTGATCATTCTGTGTAATCAGCCATTTCTCAAAAACTACCTGGCAATGGAGGTTATTGTGTAGTAGGGTTAATATTATTTGTGGAGAGCCTCAGTTAAGAGCCATTAGTATAAACAACTTTGATTCAGCTTAAAACAGTACCTGGAAGGAATAGGGACTCAAGAAGTATTTTTGAATGGATGTTAGGATGTGAATATCTTTAGGTTAAGGCCTATGCTTTTGTACCCCCTCCCCTCCCGCCAGTGCCTGGCTACTAGGTGCTCAGTAAATGTAGTAAAGTGAGTAAGACTATGGTCTTTGATAGCAGACCTTATTCTACTATACATTAGTTTTGTGACCTTGAAGAGAGAAGTTACTTTAGTAAATTTCTATTTCTCTATCTGTAAAATGGGTTAATAACAAGCTCATAGGCCTGGTATAAGGTTTAAATGAATTAACATCAATAAATAATTTAATATTCAACATAGTGGCCTGTACATGGTAGATGCTTAACAGAACAGACATAGTTAGTATGACTGTTGTCATGGATTTATATATTTCTTCAACTAATTATCTAATTATATTTTATTTAATATTAATGTCAAACCAAACACATGGAGTATATACTAATTGGTGGGTGAAAGAAGCCCAATAGCAGTCTGGGAAACAAAAAAATGAACTACTTTGACATGATAAATTTCACAAATGAATGTAGAAATAATATGTAGTTGTGAATGTATTAATAATTTGAACCTTAGTGTTTGCCAAATTGGTTATTAAGCTTTGTATTTATAGTTTTATGCTCAATTAGAAATAAACAAAAAGGAAAGTAAAGATATGTTTTTTACAGTATGCCAAATTAACTTATGAATACAGTTAGTTTTTGATTTAAGTGCTCTATAGAATAGAAATTGCCCAGGAAGTGTAGAGGAATGCTTTCTCTTATGTGATCATACATTCAACAGGTACTGTTAATTAATCTTATTTTTTTTTTTTTTTTAAATATATCTTTATTGATTTCAGAGACAGGAAAGGAGAGGGAGAGATAGAAACATCAATGATGAGAGAGTCGTTGATCAGCCGCCTCCTGCACGCCCCCAACAGGGGATCGAGCCGGCAGCCCGGGCATGTGCCCTGACCAGGAATCGAACCCTGATCGCCTGGACCCTAGGTCAACACTCAACCGATGAGCCACACCTGGCCGGGCAATTAATCTTATCTTTGCTGAATACCTGCCTCTCTGCAAGGCTGCCATGCTACCATGGGTGTCAGACATCTCTACTCTTACTGACAAACAGGGAGGCAAATGAATTCCTGAGATCACAATTTGGAACTCAGAATATTAATACCCCCCCCCACACACATGGACATGCGCACACACATCTATATTTCCCAATATTTATAAACGGTAGCTAGATATATAGTTGATGAATTACTATTTAAATGTGGGCTAGCCTGGGAATAGAATTATCATTTTTAGCATTGCTTTTATATAAAAAAGTACATTCTGAATTCTGAATAGGTTTTGGAATAGCCTGTTCATTCATGGTGCCTGCCTATTTTTATATATTAGGTCCTCATTGCTTGTCAGGTGCCAAGCATGAAATATTCGGTACATTTACTACCTTGTAACCATTAGGGATTATATATCTGAGTTTTGGGTTAGACCATGTACTGCAGATAATTTACATTTTTGTGTAATTGGGACTGATTGATACTATTACTGAAATTTATTAATGAATGATTGAAACTAACTTTTAATCTAGATGATAACTTGGTAGAGTGGAAAAAACTATGGTTTTAGAGTCAGATCTGAGTTCAAATTCTAACCTCACTATTTATTAACTGAATTTGTTTCTTCAGCTGTAAAATGGAGATGATAATTACAGGGTGTTTATGAGAATTGAAATGATTTAGTAGTAGCCCATGTAAAGTGCTTAGTCAAGGCATTTAGTACACATTAAACACTCAGTATCATGCCATTAGATCCTTAATTCCTTACAGTTAGTTCTTTAGCAACTTGACATACATAAAAGTGCTCACTTTACTGAGTTACAGCATAGAATTTATGTTTTAAAAGGCTCATAGTAAATAGGTATGGCAGTATCTTTTTATATCTCTTTGGCTATGTTAATTGAGGATGGTTTATTTTAATTTTTCCCATTTTTATAATGCCCATAAAAACATTTATTAAGTCATATATTAATGAAAGCTCAAGTAGGAAGTAAAAACAATGAATAATGTGCTGTTTATTTTTCACATTATTTTATATAGCAGTGTTTGCTTTGGTAGGAAGTCTGTCTTTATGAGGTTATTGGCTAAATTTTTATTTCCTGTTTTGAAATAGTGAACTTTTGAAATGCATCTATACTTCTGAAATTCAAATGTAGCTTATCATTGGTCAATACTGAGCTACAGAGTTATTTCAAATGAAAGAGTAGAAACCTTAGAATGTAAATGAATTTGATAATTCTTTTATGAACCTGATATAAATATAAAAGTTTAACTAGTGTAATATGTGTATAGTCCATTTTCATGTTAACAAGCTAAGCACAATTAAAAAGAATAATGTTCCTGGCCTTGAACACAAAATGGTTTGTGAGAAAAGTTTGTCTTAGTTACAAATGCTTCACTTTAATACTATTGGACTAGGCCATAGTAAATATGAGATGTCTAGATAAAATTTATTGATGGGTATTATATATTTAATATATCTTGCCAGCTTTGTGGAACATAGAGTTAGGAAGTTAAGACCATTTCACTTGTTGGTCAGTCATAATGATTACTTCTGTGTGTCAAACATGATCCTAGATGATGGAGAGGCAGCAAGAAAAGAAGTAGGAGATAGCGCCTTAATCAGAAGACAAAATGAGATAGCACATATATGAGGCAGCAAAATGTTCTAGCAAAGATTAATGAAATACAGAAGATTATATCAGCTCTTTAGGAGGAATGGAGGGGCTGGATTTGGAGAAAGCTGACTGATGTGCATTGATTGACAAAGAGGATAGAGGGAAAAAAAGTCCCTGTTCTAAAAAGAAGGAATGGTGTGTTACAGGGTGACAGCTAAGAATGACAAAGTTGTTCTGTGGAAAGCAAGCAAATTAAATTGTCTTGAATGGAAGTTTGTGTAGAAGATAGTCAGAAATTGGAGTGTGAGGATATAGAAGATTTTTAGCATTAATGTAAAAAGAAAGACATTTCAGACTGCCCTATATTTTTAAAAGTAGACAAAATGAAAGAATTTCGTATTCACAAAGCAAGTTTTATAGGTGTTGACTTATTTTAAGATGAACTGTGAAACAGATTAAGACTGAATGTTACTACATTTAAGTGTAATTTGCAAAATGAAAATCCATTTATTCCTTGCTGGGATTTAAAATGCACTGCTTGCAAAAAAATGAATATACAAGCATTTTACATGTCATGACTGGCTACATAAGGAAAGGAAAAAGAGATTAAAAAAAACTGTAATAAGGCTAACTGACATTTGAGTAGGGCTGGATTTCATCTTTTTAAAATTTTTTATTCTAGGTTCCTGCTTTTGCTAAGAGAGCACCCATGACACAAGATAAAGTGCTCTATTGGCCTTATTGATTAATTGAACAAATTCAGGTTAGTACATTTTATGCACAGCATTTACTTGTTCTTATTATATGTTAATATTTTGATACATGAATAATTTTGTGTTTGAAGCTACATATATGTATGTACCAGTGAAGTAGAAAGGCCAAGTGGATCTAAACCCTATTGAATTGTATATTAGTTAACAAACATTTTCTGACTACCTACTTTGTGTGATATGCAGTGTATATAATAAAAAATGTTTTACTCCGTGTGTAATAGTTTTGTACTTTAAAGGGCTGGGTAAAACAAGCTGTGGGTGAATATGGTACATTGTACCTTTGGTGTCGTGTAGCATATTTGGTTGTGAAAATAACTCATCTTAAAATTTTATAAAGAAAATATTTTTAGTGATGTTTAGAGAGAGAGAAAGGGAGAGAGAGAGAAAAAAATGTTGATGTGAGAGAGAAACGTCGATTGGCTGCCTCCTTCACACACCCTGACTGGGGATTGAACCTGCACCCTGGGTATGTGCTCTGACTGGGAATCGAACTGGCCACCTTTTGGTGCATAGGATGACGCTCAGCCAACTGAGTCACACTGGCCAGAGCTCATCTTAAAATTTTTCACAGTAGCTGACTTGTAAAGGTTTCATTCTTGTCAAGATTTCAGTCATACATTAAAATTTTTATTTATTTGTATTTAGTGTTTGGTCTGAGTTTTGACAAATGTATATTCATTACCATAATCTTCTAAATTAACTCATGTCTACCTCAATGCCAAGCAACCACTGATATTTTTTTTGTCTCTGTAGTTTACCTTTTTCAATATGTCATTTAAATGGAATCATTAAGTATGTGGCTGTTAAAATACGGCTCCTTTCACTTAGCATAATGGATTTGGATTCATCCATGTTGTGCATACTAGTAGTTCTTTTTAAAAAAATGTTTTTATTACTGAGTAGTGTTTTACTGTGTGGATATACCACAGTTAGCTTATCCATTCACCAGTTGATGGACATTTGTGGAGTTTCTAATTTTTGGTAATTATTGTAGTCATACTTTAAGTCATAACTTAAAATTTACCATCTAAGTTTCTGATTTCTCACCTGTAGAATGAACATAGAATATTTTATCCCAAGGGTTGTAATGAGGATTAAATAGGATAAATTAAATAAAAATATGTAGCAGTAGAGTTAGGCTTTTAATAAATGTTTGTCTTTGTCTTTATTTTTTTAAATGACCAGTGAAAACTTTACTTTTCTAGTGCCTATTTCCCTAGTGAGTCTATATAGACACAAAAATAGTACCCACTATTACCTTGGAGCCCATCAAGAAATAAAAATGAAGCAAATTACTGCTCTTTTGACCTCTTAGAACTTTTCACAGTTGGAAAGAAAATTAACCAGGGTACTGTCAGCATAAGACTATATTAGAAAATGCTGGACATGAATAGGCTCTGGAGGAGAGTTCTAACTTGGGGAAGGTAGAATTTTTTATAGGGCTTTAGCAGGATGGGGTCAGGCATAGTTCAACTAGTTTGGGGAATAGTGTGTCAATGATGGCTGCCAGAGAATTGATCTTGTAGATTAGCAGCTGTTGCACAGTTTGGATTTTATCAAGAAGGTTGGGGAAAAGCAGCTGTGGGGAGCAAGGACATGAGAAAGCCAATGTAAAAATTCTCAAGTTTTTAGTGCCTTCACAGTAGATTTTTCTATTATTGGCTCTTGCAATCTTCTCTTAACCACCTCACCAACCTTCCCCTCCACCCCAGTAGAAAGACCCCTTAATCCTGGGCATGATTTAGACTGCTTCTAGCTCTTGATCTCAGAAGGCAGTATCTTTATGCAACTTCAAAGAACAAGGAATTAAGTATTTTGTAGCTCTGGAAAGTTCTCTCAGTTTTTGGTCCCTGCCTTCTTTGCACTGTTTTGGGTCCTGTTATATAGGTGCTCTGCAGTAGAAGAAACAGTAATGTATGATAATGAAAAGCTTCAAAGTAGACATATGGCTGGAAGGGAGATTTGAATAGGATTTTGCAGCAGCTATTTTAGTTGATGATACATCTTCAACTTAAATTGTAATTGACTTTTTAAATTCTGTCTTATCCTTCTGTGATGATTCATGTAGAAGTCATATGAGATCATTTTTGATAGCTGGTTTGCAAACTTTGATATGTGCAGCCAACCTTCCAAAGCCTACCTGTGCTTTTTCAGGGAGCTCAGCTTGTGGCTTAATAGATCAGCTATTTTCTTGTATTTTTTTAATGCATTACTGGTTTCTAGTAGCTGGTGCTTAACACTATTCATTCTTGAATTTGGTGAATTGTTGTATGAGCTTCATACAATTTCTTTGCCTTTATGAGGTACTTTCTGAGTATAGGTAGATCCAGTCTCTTGTAAATATAAATCACGTCCTGGTCAGGGCACATGTCCGGGTTGTGGGCTCGATCCCTGGTAGGGTGAGTGCAGGAGGCAGCTTATCGATGTTTGTTCTCACGTTAATGTTTCTCTCTCTTTCTCTCCTTCTCCCTTCCTCTCTCTCTAAAAATCAATAAAAACATAAAAAAAGAAAAGAAATTAAATGGTCCTGTCCTCTTTAATACATAAATCTTATTATCTGCTAGTTTACTTCTTGCTTTGTGGTTCTCTGTATTCCTCTTGTAATGCTTGCTTAGTCTTTAATGTAAATACAGTTAGTTACCATCCATGGAAAACATTGTGTATGCAGACATTAGGAAAATATGAATATTTGGCCGCCATGTTAAGGCTTAGTGGGGCATTTCTTCCCAGCTTTTCAGTATGTAGAAAAAGAAGTGAGCTACTTAAGCTTTTTTAGTCAAGTTCACCAATAGACCTTGTTTCTTTTCAGACTAGCTTGAATGGAAACAGATATATGAAGAACAGTATGTCTGCTGTTCCTACATGTATATACTTATCATAGCTATGAAAAATATACTTGATTTTACTTTGAGGCTCTCAAGGTAAATTGGTCATATGTAATCAATATTTTAGTATTGTCATGCATAATTAAATACTTTTCTGTAAATTATAGGAAAGTTATGTTTTTTTTTGTTCTGCAAAATGTCACAAAATTTCAGTAATACGGCTTTCTCTATTTGATATTTAGAGGAGGTTAGGGAACAAATTTATCTATAGACTAAATAATCTAAATAGAAAACTGGTGAGAATCTATTCTTTGTAATATGTTACTTTGCTCCTTAAATCTCATTCACCTCCACTTGTTACATTTGGTAATATGAAGTGAATGTTACTATCCTATTTATTTAAATTTATGGGAAATATTCTTTTAAATCTCTATATCTTTAAATCTTGGGAACCCTGAAAGGCTTCTTTATCTTTTTTTATTTCTTCTCAAGAAAATAGTGTCTTCATTTACTACTTATTTATTTATTTTAATTTTTTCCACTGCTTTTCAGAGAGAGTAGAAGAGGGAGAGGGAAAGAAAGAGAGGGGGAGAGAGGGAGAGAGAGATACAGACAGACAGACATCAAATGAGGTACATGCCCTTGGTCAGAATTGAACCTAGAGAAGAGACCCTTTAGTCCCCAGGCTAATGCTCTAACCACTGAGCAAAACCAGCTAGGGCTCTTCATTAACTCTTAAAAAAACTTAAACAAAAATTGATCAGAGAGAGAGAAGTATCGATTTGTTTTCCACTTATTTATGTATTCATTGGCTGATTTATATGTGCCCCAACTGAGGATTGAGCCCACAACCTTTGTGTATTGGGTCAACACTCTTAACTAACTGAGCTACCCAGCCAGAGCTATCTTGATGTTTTTGTAGAAATTCCTGCTACCCACAGATAGAAATAATAAATAATATTATAAAAATATTATTTTAACAAGTAATTAATATAAAAATATCAATGAAATGTTTTGCATTCTTTCATTCCTTAATAAATTGGCGTGTGTTTTATACTTATAGCACTTCTCAGTTCAAGCTAGCCATATTTCATGTGCTTAATGACCATATTTGCCTACTGACTACTTTACTGGACAGTGCATTTATATACCATTCTGTGTTCATTAAAAATTTGTGATTGAATTACAGATAGATGGCTTATTCTCCCTCTGAGTGAAGGGCAGTTGGGCTGAAAGGCATCATCATTCAGTTGTGTCCAGAGAATCCACTCAGGAGGGGAACATATTTTTTATACTTGGTAAGAAGGAATGAGGAAAGATTTATCAGATGTTTAGGCTTCTTGCTGTTTGAGGTTCTGTGAGTATTGTTTAGTTGGAGGGATAATGCTTTTTCTGTAGACAGAGCTCTGGAAAAGCACACAGTTTTTACTCTTGAAACATGGTGTTTGTTGTTTCAGGGAACCTTTGCCTTTGTCCAGAACCCTTCACATCACTGATTTATTTTTGTGTGGGATTAAGTTTATAGTCCTCAGGCAGGAATTTCTAAAATCTGTTTTTTCCTCAAAACAACAACAAAAACCCCCCCAGATAAAGTTATCACATTAAAAAAATGACAATAAATCTTTCCCAACTGTAAAAGTTTAGTATGTATTCTTTGTAAAAATTTAGGTAATGGAGATACGTACTAATACCTGTTTAATGAACAGATCTCTGGCAGAAGGAAGTGTTCTCATGTTCTCACTTTGACTTCCTCTTGCCGTACTAGGGTTTCTTGGGCAGTACACTCCGGTGAATCTGAGCCTCTCTGGTTTGTATGGGACAGGTATTTCCTTTGAGGGAGTCCTTGCTGAGTTATATTTGTATATTGTTATATATTATATATCATTTTATTTGTCTAAGAGCCCAATTTTAATGCATTTAATTAAAAATCTTCTTAGAGAGTTATCTGTGTAATTGTAAGATTTATAAAACTAAATAACAGCCATAGGACTTGTAGTAACTTGTTGAGAGATACCAGGTTAAAATATGTTATGCTCTGTACAATTTAACAGAATAGAATGTACTTTTATCATCAATAATTTCCATTTTCTGGATTCGTAGTTTTAGTGATATGCTGATGTTATATCAGTATATGAATATAATCTTTTTGGCATGACTGATAGTGG